GTTGAGTGAGGAAAAGGTGGAGGTGGTGACGGTGTTACGTTTAAGAGTAAAATGAAGACCAAAGTTCAAATATAACAGGGTAAGTAACAGTAACAACCTCTAGGACAGTAATGTGGACCATGGGTAAGCTAGTTCTACTTCTATTTCTGTGAGACATCATAGGAAGGACTAACCTAGACTGGTCTCATCCCTTCCTGGTAAAATGTAGACGTCATCCAGCTGGATCACTTCTTTTTTTTTTTTTAGTAGAGGGTTTTACGACGCTCGCAACTGCAAAGGTCATATGAGCGCCAAGGGAGGGTGTCAACAGAGAAGTCAGGAAATCACGACTTATTCTGCTCACCTCTCTAGCTTCAACAGCACAAGGTCTGCTTCGACTATCAAGGCACCCCGGAAATAGCAGTTCACAAGAGAGTGACAAACATAAAAGAAGTAGAGGAAATGACAATAGTAACGATTAGGAAAGAAAAAGCAGCAGTTCCCTGTTGCAGATCAGGCACAGTTATGAACGTGACATGATGAATCAGCCCATTTACAATTCTACTGTGCTTTAACGAAAAATGTCCCCCATTTGGGAATGGCCTAAAGACACTTCAACTTCAGTCAGTGGCACTGCCCCGGGGGGTTGGATCACTTCGACCCAACTACAAGAACACGGCACTTGTAACACATTAAGGTCATATAAGTGTCGAAAATTAGAGGTGCTTCAATAGAGTAACAAAAACAAAAAAGGTGTGTTGAGTACTATAAATGTTTGATAGGAAAGAAGGGAATAAACCACACCATAGCACCCGTCATCCACGCATATTAGTCTACTTCTGCCAACTGAACGATCTCACGACTCTGCAGCCTTCAAAACCTTCACCGTAGACCCCTGGGCAACAGGAACATCAAATCAACTTTGGGACAGTTTCGTTGTTATTTTCCCCTAAATGTTTTAGTAGAAAGACATTGGCGTAAGAACGGTTATATACTGCAGGAAAGAGCAAGACAATCAAACACAACAGATGAAAGAACGGGG